TTCTATTATTATTTAACCCTCAAAATGACCTGATGATATATTATCATCTCTACTTTAAAGGAAGAGAAATAAACTTAGATTAAAAGACTTCCTCAAGGTCATGTTGCTAGTAAGAGACAGAATCAGGATTCAAATCCAGGTTGTTTCCAAAGCCCTTTCTTTATCTCAGTCATTACCCTTTCGAGTTTCCCTGTGCTTTCATCAGTTTAATTATTTTTCACTGTTTTTAGTACTTTAACTTTTTCATTTTCTTTCTTTAGCTGAATAACTTCTCACATCCATTTGTTACAAATGAAAGGTTTCTAAATACATAGTAGGAGCCAAGATCTTTTTTTTAGGTTAGGAATCAAATCTTAAAATACTAATTACATTTTTAAAAGACATTTCAATATTATATATGTCATCATCACTTCAGCAAAACCGTATCTATCACCTTAAAAAAAAACTTTGAAAAGCTAGTAGTGTTTCAATAAATAAATAAATGTCCAAATCCCACTTTTAATAATTTGAGATCATTTTACAAAATAAAAAATATGCATGCACAAAAATTTTCATCTGAGCACTGTATACAATAAAGAAAACTTAATCAGCCTAAATGCCCATTAACAGGAACCTGCTTAAATCATTCAGTATACTTCTACAGTGGAAAATTATGTAGTCATTAAAATGAATCAACTAATCAATTAACATTTCTTAAGATGGAACAAAAGCCACAACACATCACTGAATGGGAAAAAGGGCAACTTACTAAACATGAGTGATTTTACAAACACACATTTTCACACATGGATAGCTACATAAGAAATATCTAGAAAGACATCAGTGAGGATGGTAGAGTTTCAGGTGCTTTTGACTTTTTCTGTATTTTTTACATTGTTTAAATCTGTAATGGACATGTATTATTTTTATAGAACAATATGGTACTAAAAAATCAGTATGTTGGATACTTATTAGGCATCTATTATCTAACCTTGGAGATGCTGATGAAAAGAAGACAAAAAGCAGCTATCAACCTGTATATGGGAATTTTCCTAAGTAGATTATTGCCTACATTTTACTTCCTTAAGTAAAAATAGAAGTAAAAAGTAATACTAATTATTAATGAAGTAATCCTAATGTTTAGAGTTCAGAGAATATACCTGGATAAAAAGATAACTTTATACAGTCATCTCTACCTCTCTAGAAGAATGGTTTAATCTACTATATATTTTTTACATTTTTTATTGAGTTATAGTCATTTTACAATGTTGTGTCAATTAATCTACTATATTATATCGAATCTAGAATGCCTTTTAAGATGTGCCACTACCGTATGTTTCACTAAGGAAGAAAAACTGCCAAACTACAACAATACTTTATCATTTAGAATTTTTATGTTGTACCTTTTTAAGAGCTCTTTTGGATACACTTAAGACAAAAATTGTTATTGTATATCTATTATCCTTGTGCACACATGAAAAATTAAATACTTCATATTTAAGTTTGACTGTTCTGAATCATTTTTTCACTCATAGTTATCTAATGCCTGTGTTTTTCTACATCATTCCACATCATTCTCTGGCCATTAGAAACTTTGGTGATACAGCATTTCTTAAAAGGGTGCTCCTCTACTACCGTCTCCAAACTTCTCTTTGAAGCTACCGTCTCCCATTTTGCAATTATGATGCTGATACCTTCTTGATCTTACCACAGGTGCTAAAAGATGTTTAGGTAACAACCAGGACTCATATTCTTCCTTCAAAACGTCCTTAAATGGTTTATTAATTGAAACATCAAGGGGCTGCAACTGTATGACACTAGAGATACAACTACATCCACAATGTACTGGCCATGATAGATACAACACAACCACCAACTGGTCAACAACAATACTAAAGCATCAATCAATAAATTGAGACTCATCCCAATTTCAGAGATGTTAAAAAGTTAAAAGTCTGTCATAACTGGTGAAATATGGCATTAAGTTTATCTAAGAAAAACACTACAGTTAAACCAATAATAAACAGAATTCACCCTCCCTTAAGTCAGAAGAAATAGCCAGTGAGATAAACCCTTCTCTCACCATTTTAATGTAACACTTTGGGAAGAAGGAGAGCAGAGGAACTGTCCTTGAAGACTACTACAAAATATGAGCCCTGGGAAGAGACCAAGCATACTGTGAGTGGAGTTAAAAGCCACCCTGCCTCTGCATGCTTCTACTGATATCCTGGGAGATTCTAAAGATGTGTATTTTACTTGTGAATAGAATGGCATGAAAAGGGAAAAATAACTACTACTAGATAGTATCTAAAGCTCTTTATAGTAACAAATTTCATTATTCCATTATTTTAATATTCCATTATTATCCATTTCATTATTATGGATATACTGATTGAACCAACAATGATACCATTTAGTTTAACATAAATAATAAATAAAATTTACACTAGAAAATACAGTGTTTCTTACATTATTGCTTGAAAATAGCTGGATTACTCATCAGGATCTGATTCTAGAAAACTCTAAAAATCAAAACTGAAATGAACATTGATAAGTGTACAAAACTATACTTTAAATAAAGATAATGCAAATAAAATCTTAAAAAGAAAGTTTCATCTATCTACTCCCTAAAGACATGAAAATTCTTCACATAAAGATATGATACCTAAACAAATGTTAAAAACAAGAATGAAATAACAAATACTTAGATATTAATTTAAAGAAGATATAACTTCTATTGTTAAAAAGTGTTCAGATATTAGTCACGACCACTTAAAAATCACAATGTTTTTATTTTCACAAATCACAGCAACCAAGGAAAGATACTGGAATTACTAAAACCCAGAAGTTTGGAGGCAAGATTCTGCACAGCTGTAACTCAGTTCCCTGAGGAGAGAGTGCTGCTCAGCTGCTGCTGGCATCTCTGCAATTGGAAGACGGATCCTGTGGGACTAGGGCGCCTTTTGAGGAAGAAAGGACTAGCCAACTGGAGCTGGTGTTATTAAGAGTCATGATGAGGCTAGCTGTGTGAATGCTGGAAAAACTACAAACTGGATTTAGGAATGCTGTTGCTGGGGTGAAGAATTTCCACTAGGATGGTGGTCAAAGTAACAGGAAAGCAGACAGGGAGCCCACAGGAAACAAAGAGAAAGGTTTAAGTTCTTTCTTTCTCCTCCTTCTCCTTGAGACCTCTCTCTAGTGCTCTGTACTTGTGCAGCCTAAAAGTGAGCAGCTGGCAAAGCAGAAATGTGATCTGCAAAATCTCAGAACAGCATCACAAAGCAGAGCACAGAAG